CTGGGGATCAAACCTGCAACCTAGGCCTGTGCCCTGACTGGAAATCACCTCTTGGTGTGCAGGACAGTGCTCCAACCAATTGAGCCACACTGGCCAGGGCAGATCTTTCTATAAGAAACAAAATACTCCCTATTTTCAAATTAGAATATTAAATATATAGGTTACTTTTATTTCATATTAATATTCTACTTACAGTGTATAAATGGCTAATAATTTTAATATAGCTATTCTGTGTTTACACATATATGCACTCAAAATGCTTAAAAATGAACAGTGGCATTTTCTTTTCTGCTACATAATTTAAATAGAGATAACTAAGCTCTTTCCTGGTTATACATAAATATTTGACCTTTTAATTCATAAACTTAGCAACAATTTGAGGAGAAAAAACTGAGTTGAATGTACTATATTTATTATATTGATTAGTACAACATACACATTTGAAAACACTTAGCTACCTTATATTGAAAATTCTCTTCCTTATTACTACTAATTTTTATAATTTTGCTATTAAGTGCTTTATATCACTATCAATTATCTCACTCTTTTTTAAAAAATATATTTTATTGATTTTTTTACAGAGAGGAAGGGAGAGGGACAGAGAGCCAGAAACACTGATGAGAGAGAAACATCGATCAGCTGCCTCCTGCACACCCCCAACTGGGGATGTGCCCGCAACCAAGGTACATGCCCTTGACCGGAATCGAACCAAGGACCCTTCAGTCCGCAGGCCGACGCTCTATCCACTGAGCCAAACCGGTTAGGGCAATCTCACTCTTTTATCTCCCTTTTGAGTTTATCTTGTTTTTGTAATTTTCAGTAGGTATTACATTGGAAAAAGAAAAAAGAAACAAAAGGCAGATGAAAGATTTAGAAAACTTCTTCCTGACTATTGACGTCAATAATTCTTTTGACTGCCACTGCTAAACAGAGTTGGTCCTGAGAGTCTAGCATTGGTTAATGGGGAGAAGGGGACCTAGACAGAAAGTAGAAAGACCTTAATTGTATTAAACTAGTGGAAGGTCCCTTCCAGAATGATGTGAGCGCTCCATTTTCCATTTTGAGAAAGCACATCCATGTAATCAGGGATACACCGTTGCTGATCAATGCTTCATATCAGAAAACCTTTCTCATTATTTGGCAAACTTTGAACTTAGTAGACAGACCACCCTGGGTGGCCCTAATGGCATAAAACCAGGAATGTTGTCTACTGATTGTTGGCTGTCTTTCTAGGGCCACCGGTACCACTGGAGGTGTGCATAGGTGTGCATGCAAGCTTATGGAGATGTTAAAGAGTCAGCAGAAGAATCCTGTCAATTGCAGTCAAACTGTAAGGCTGTAGAACTCTGGCCAATCAATCCCTGAGTTACCAATTCTTGACTTGTCAATAATGAACAACTGGTTAGACATTTCCTTCTCCTATTCTCACCTACTGTAGGCTACTCCTATTCTCACCTACTGTAGGCTACTCCAACCCTCATCTGTAATCATACTCACTTGCAGAAGACACATTGACTTGAGCCATCTGGAGGTCACATGAAAAGATATCTGTCTTCATATTTCTTTTTCACAACCTCGATTCTTTCTAATATCTTTATAGACCTGAGACCAAACACCTATGTAACATGTTCCTCCTCCTTTATAAAATTTTAGATTTTTTGGTGTGCTAAAGTACATATAACATAAAATTTAGCATCTTAACCATTCTTAAGTGTACAGTTCAGTGGTATTAAGTACATTCGTACTGTTGTGCAACCATTACCACCATCCATCACCAGAGCTCTTTTCATCTTGAAAATGGAAACTCTGTACTCACTAAATACTAACTCCTCATTGCCCTCCCCCATCAGCCCATGTTAACCACCTTTTTTATTTTGTCTCTATGATTTTGACTATTCTGAATACCTCGTAGAAATGGAATCATCAAGTATTTGTCTTTTCCTCTCCTTTTTCTCTACCTTCCCAAACTCCATCTAATTAATCAAATATGATCTCTCTCATAAAAGAGGTCATTTCTTTTTCACCATTTTCCTTACTCTTTCCTTCTGGGAAAAAAATTTAAACCCTGCCCTGCCCCCTCTCTTCCCTTCTTCATTCCATTTATAAACCTCTTATTTAAAAAAAGAAAATGACAACGAAAATTTTTTTAAAAAGGTGACTGGGATAATTTCCTGGTTCTTTCATAGAGGTATGAGTTTCTGTGTGTAATTAACCATACAAAAGAACTACAGCTGCCAACATCTAAAATCTCTGAAATGGCCCAAGTTCTTTACAAAATCTCCATAAAAGTTTAAATTTAACTTTCTACTCATCTTAGTAAAAATTATTTCTGTTCAACAAGAAATGTCTTTTAACTCACTTATTGCTTTTTTCTTGGAGGCTGATTCTCAGTATTCTAAAAATTGTGTTTTTCTCTTTATCCCACGGGAAGTGAGTAGATTTCAACTGTGTTACATGTTAAAGAGGTGTTTGAGAACTAGAGTCTGTGAACCAAATCACAATATTTAATACTGTTCTCTGGGAAAGTGTTCTAGGTTCCACATAGCTCCTGAGAATTGAACTGCTGGTATTTAAGCCATTTATAAACTGGGGGTTGAGTGTGTGTTATACACTTCCCATAGATTTCATTAGTGATACATAGCTGAAAGCTGTTGGCCAACTCAATGCCACAGGTCACACAGTGAACAATAAAAGCAGCAGACAACCAAGTCACAGCAGCCAGCATGTCATCCAGATCCCTTGCCAGAGTTCAGACCCAACAAGTGAATATGCTAAACCTATAGATTCTACAAACTCTCCATGACTTCAACCACCCATATAATTTCGGATGCATTTTCTTCTACTGCATGTTGAAGAAACATATGTTTCACTATGGCTTATAACAGACTTTGAAAACCCCATGGCGAGGGCACTGAAGTTAAAAAAGGTTTCTAAGAGAACAAGTCAGAGCTGCAGAAATATGCCTGGAGCAGAGGCTAACCAGCTAATTGTATTATTCAGCAGAAGAGACTTACAGAGGGATATCAGAAACCATTATAGAACTGCAAAACGGAAATTAGCAACCCTTGCATAAAACACCAGTTTAGAGATAATACATTAGCTGAGGGTCCAAAGAGTTCCAGAGCTGGGACTGCTGGTCTATGAAGTTCTGATCTGAACAGGGAAATGCAAATAGCAATTGAGATCAAGTTACTATCAGGGCAATAGCCACATTAACCAGCAGCCTCCTTTTTTTCCTCCCCAAAGGCCTTTGTAAGACGAGGCAGCTTGCCTTGGTCTTGGAGATGTATCCCTTTGCAATTAATGGACACGAAAGAAAGTGGCTTTTGTTGTCTCTCATTTGTTTGTTTGAGGCCTCACGTTTCGGGCCAAGCCATTTATCAGAGAATATTAACTCCCTCTCTAAACTCTGAACATTTAGAGCCACTTCCACATTTATCTGGCACTCAACTCTGCAGATTCATGCATGCAAAACTGGCCTCCTCATTAGAATCATAAACAACTTAAAGGCAAGTAAACTGACTTGAACTTCCTTAGGATTTCCCCTAACAACTACATACTGCTGGGCACAGAGTGGGCATCTGATAAACACAGTTGGTTAACTCAAGGATAAGGTCCTCACATATCATGGGCATTGAAGCCATGCCAGCTCCGCATGCCAATCTCAGTCCAACTTCCCAGGAAGAGTACTGATGGAGAATGTAAGCCTGGCAGTCACCAGGAGCCACATCAAAGTGGAGAAATCTTGCATCTTGTGCACGGGGTACTGCTTACCACCTGGGGACTGTAAACTCCACGAGGGTAGGAACTATGTTTTGTCCCCTACTCAGCACCCAGCACCCAGTACCCAACACCTAGTAGGTGCTCAAAAAAATATATGAAATCAAGTTTTGTCCCTTTAGACTCATGAATCAGTGTTTCTACATCTTTTGTTTTGTTCATTCATCATTTATAACCAATCCACAAAAATTAAGGTAACTACAGAAAACAAATCAACATGGCACCCACATGGTACACAGGGAGGTGTATACCCCTCCTCAGCCTGCCCAGAGTGTGCATATGTGTAGGGTGGTGTGAGGGAGGCTGGAGAAAGGTCACTGGCCTGCTAGTCACAGGTCTGGGAATTGCTGTGGAGGGACAAGAGTTGCTCTCCTGAAGAGAAATGGCCGGATGTCAGATCAAGCTCCTAGCAGCCCCAGTCAGTGGAATGCTGCTCAATGTGGTCCCTGTCTGGTTGGCAGCTTCCTGCCAGGGAAGGCTGCCAAGCAGGTTGTGACAGCTGTGCAGTGCTCTGACATTTCTGACCTGCCTGCCTGCTGCACGTGGGAAGCAGCTGAGAAGTTCTGATGTGGATGGACCCGATCTTCCAATGGCTTTCGTTTTTCAGGAGAATGCCTAACTATCTCATCTTTTAAGATGGAAGTCATCGGAAGATAGCCTTTAGCTTTTCCGGTCAACACGAACCTACTGATTCTGTGTAGGGAAAACTACAGGGTGAGGCAAATGTAGGTTTACAGTTATTCATATGGACAATAATACCATAATTAATAAGTAATAATACAAGAATAAACTCTGTGTTTTGTGTACTCATAGCTGTAAATCTACTTTTGTCCCTCCTACTGCATATTTCTTCCTGTTCTCAACCACTATTTTCACTGTGACCACACTTGTTTATGAGCATCTTATCATAGTAATTGACATCTGTCATGGACTACCACTAAGAGAAATCACCTGTTTGAATAATTAAAAAAAATTAAAGATAGCTTTTTAACCATTTATTCTTTTTAAAAAAATTAAAATCTTAAGGCTCATTATTTGGAATGTTTACACTTCAACTGATTTTGATAAAAGAATGACTTTTTATATTCTCTTAAAGCAGTTACCTTTATGTAAAGTTGCTTAAAGTGAACTGAGTATTTCATCAGGAGATATATAAATGTTAACTTAGATTCTTTTTTGCACTCAAAGATGAAAAGTTAAAAGTGAAATTTCAGACATACCTTTCAGCATCATTCGTCCGGTGGATCCTCCAAAAGTACTGAGAAGCCCACTTCTTGCTCCTAAAGATGTGGTTGCTTCTAGGAGAGAACCCGTGATGTACTGAGATATGGAGGTCCGTTGGAGGGTGGCACGATACTCACATACGGTGTCTCGAACACATTGCTTTAAGCAGGGACCAACATTAATCCTTTCATAGGCTGTCTCAGAGGCTGGGAGCTTTGTGAAGAAATGGAGAAGAGATCCAATTGTATCTTCTGTTTCTTCTCCCCTTCTCACTGCATTGTAGATCTGTGAATAGCACAAAGTACAGGAAGTATTAATCTAGTTTCTTAGAAAAGCAAATTAACTTGTTGACAAAATGCCAAGATGACTTATTAAGAAAGAAGGTTCAGTCGCTCTAAGCACAAACACTTTTGAGCACTGGACTCATGTATTAACCTGAACATTCTACAGACACCATTTATTTGGGAAAGCTATGTGTAGTTATGAAATAGGCCATTCAAACAACCCTGCTATCAAACAGAGCGCTTACAAGTTGTACCAACCAAAAATATATTCAGCTCAAATTTCTTCTCCTCCTCAGCAAAGCAAAGCTCTTCTGCAGAGGGACGATGCCAGACCTTTCCTTTTTGTCCTTTTGGACTCTTCTAAGTGACTGTTTCAGGTCTGTCTGCCTCCAAGAAATATTGCAACCTGACATTCATGAGGAATCAAACAGAAGTAAGAATGAGAGGGTCATGGGGAAGGAGCAATTCGATATTTCTCTCTTGGTCACAATCCTTCAGTCCATCAGCTTGGATCAAAATCTCTGAATCCTTTTTCCTCTTTCAAACTTCCTCATTTTCCACATCCAGTGAGTTGACAGATCATGCCCATTCTTCCTGTTTTGTTTCTGCCACTATCCTGATTTCCTCTCCCTTTATAACCTGAATTTACCAAGAATTATCTCAAGGAGATTGAACTATTAGGACAGAGTTCCCAACCATAGTTCCAACCCATGGCAAAGCAATTGTTCAACATGCATTTATATAGGTCCTGTTCTACGTGAGGCATAGCATTGAAAGATGTAGGGCCTGGGCAAAGAGTAACACAGACCTCATATACTACAGGATTTCACAATCTAACTTGGAAGATGAGGCCTGAAAATGATGAGGTTTAACATTATTACAGGGAGGTTTGGGGTTTTGTCAAGGTCTCTGGGAAGCCAGAGACTTCTAGGTAGTATATAAGCAACAGGAAGAAACATAACATGGGAGTTAATCCAGCTTTCTGATGGTGGAATAAAGGTAGACTATATTGTGTTGTTGTTTTTATCATGCCACCTTGAGCACCTTGCCATGGTTGTCTTATTATTTATGCATCATATCAATAAATAATCATTATGTGTTTATATAACAGATATGTGTCAGGCCTGGGTTAATAAGATAGCTTCTCCCCTCAAAGAGTTCACAGTCCAGTGATACACAAAAGAGCTCATAGTGGAGTGGAAATGGAAGTCGCCCTGTCCTGTGACTTCAATGAGTGTCCAGGGAAGAGAAGATCCTCCAATGCCCTCCAGGCCACGTGTGTGCCCCCATGATGCTACACACTCCAAACCTCACCTTAACCAGGATGCACTGGCCCTCAAGAGGATCACTGTTAAGTTGTGCTAGGTCCTTAGGACTTTAGAATGTACCTAAAACACCCCAATGATTCAAATTGCGGATCCTGACTACATTTCTATTCTGCTTTCCTCTGACTACTGGTATATACTTGTCACTTGAAGGCAAAGTGGGAATTCTTTGGCTTTAATTCTCTGCCAATTAAATTTCTGGTGGCCAATGCGGCCATGAAGGTGGTGTGCTGGGACAGAAAGAGCTCGGCTTTAGCATCAGGTATATGGGGTTGTGCTCCTGATTCTACCTTGACCAGCTAGAGAGCTGGGCATGAGCATGAGCAAGCTGACTTAAATGCTTAGAGACAGTTTCCTCTTCTGTAAAATGGGAATACTAAGGTCCCATCTTATGGATGTTGTGGGTTTCACCAAGGCAACAATGTAAAGTGCTCAGCCTGGTATCTAGGAATGGGGCCCATTACTACTGGGCAAGAAAAGAATGGACTCCGCTATCCTCAGGGAACAGCAGATGATTGTGTAACAACAGAGCTTAGTCTATGAAATTTATTGTGATGGGGTTATACCCTTACTCTCCTGTGCCACTGGATAATATCATCCTAACCTTATTTGAGCTGCAGAGCTCAAAACATGCTTTTCTCCTCTCAACTCCAAATCACACAGGCAATCTCCAACACACTAAGTCTCAAACAAATCCTTCAGAAGTAAATGCTCTGAAGTTCAGGGAAAGGACCCACAGTGAGATCTGATGGCTAAAGAAGGCTTCAGAGGTAAAACAGATTTGAGCTGTGCCTTGGAAAATAGGCACAACTCTAACTGGAGCAGCTTGGGGAGGCAACTCTCATGGTAAGCAAGGGTGAAAGAAAATGTATGTGTCCTAAGGATAGTAAGCAGAGCAGGGTATTTAGAGCAGAGGAGAAATTAGAAAGGCCAGTTGGCCTGATAAAGGAGATTCTTGAATGTCAAACAAAGAGCTTTAAGCCATCAGAGGTAGAAACTCGTCACTTTTGTTTGTTTATTTGTTTGTTTTTAGCAGAGAAATGATGCTAAAAAGGTTTTACTTTACAAGATTAATATGCTTACAGTTCTTAGTTACTAATGAGTAGACCTAGTTTCTTCTTGCCAAGCTCCTCCACTGGCTCAGATGCCCTTACTCATTATGTTATGCATTCCAGTTTCCACATCAGGCCTTCAGAGATTCCCAGTGTCTCATTCAGCCCCTTATCCAGCTTTCCCAAAAGGTTTTCCTCAAATGAGGAGATCGTGAGTGATTGCATGAAATAAAAATTCCTTGATCAAGTAAGTTTGAAAAACTTAGTAAATATTCTCCTTTTGAAGATTTACATTGCATATTAGAATATTAAAGACAAAAGGTTTAGAGTGAAGATATCTATTTTATTTTGTTTGAGTGTTTGAGTATTACTCATACTCATGTTATCTGACCAGAAATTTTTTTTAAGAGCACACACTCTGTGAATATAGTGTTGTACCAAATAATTTGCTCTAATCAAATGCCCTTTTCTTATTCTCATTTCCTTGACCTTTGTGGATTCTCTGAAACAGACAATTACCTAACTTTCTTGAAATCCTGCCTCAATTGTCATCTCATTGTTCTATCTCTGCCTTACTCTGTGGTTCCCCTTCCTCCATGGGCCTTCAAGACAGCTGTAATGCAATAGAGAAGTGCCAACAAGTGCCTAATGTTGGGGGTCATAATTTGGTTGGCCATGAGCCAGATTTACCCAAAAGATCTGCTTCATCTGACACACTGTTTTAAAATCAGGACAGTTTACATACAAATTGGAAGTTACAGCATCTTCTGATAAATGCAATAATCTGACAACACTGAGTATTCCCATATGGTGTGAAGGACTAGACCTTTCATAGGGCATGAGTTCTCTAATAGGCTCCCACCATTCTCTAATGATCACACCTGGTCAATATCCGGTCACCATTAGCATATGTGTTTGTGGCCCTTGCTTTCATGGGATATGGACATGGCTGTAGATACACAAAATAAACATGCACTGAGCTCCTCTAACATGTCATCTGTGTGCTCTTCCCTGGGCTAGTTGCCAAGGATACAGAGAGAAAGCCATGGTCTCTACTCTCAAGGAGCATTGCCACTCACCTCCAACATATATAAATGTTATGTACATATTAAGTAACCATTCAGTATTGCTATCTTGTTTCCAAACTTGTCTGACAAAATAAAAGATGAAGAACTCTAAGAATAAAGCTCTGAGCTTCCATCACAAAGACCAGAAAAAGATCAGCAGCTCCCACAAAGATCTGGACTGACACATGCTAGTTATACAAATACTGGATGAGTTGAATTCAAGGTGCTTGTTGGAAAAATGCTGAAATGTGGGTGAACTGTGGTAGACATAACAATGCTCAGGGAACATATTAAATTAAAGCTCTAACCACTTATTAGATCACCCACTTTTTAAGAAAAAAAGGCAGACATGAAAAATTCCACATATATAATGTGGGAAAAGGGGTCAGTTATAGATCAGTCATTATGAGTGTGGCTCTGGGGCATTGGCTTGAATTCTAGCTCCCCTGCTTCCCAGCTGTGTGACCTTGACAATTTACTTGGCCATTCTGTGCATCAGTTTCCTTTTCTCCAGTGGGGATGTAATAGTTTCTGCCTCATAAGGCGGTGGTAAGAATTAAAAGCTTTGATAAATGTAATAGGATTTGAATAGTACCTGCCACTTAGTCAATACTCAACAAATACTGGTTTTTGAGATGATGGTGACAAAGATGATTGTGGTAAACCACACACACACACACACACACAGAAAATGGCCATAAATTATTTCCTTCACTGATTCTAGGCCAGCCTTGGGATTTGCTTAACCAATGGGAGTTTAGCAAATGCAATACAAACAAAGTCCTGAAAAATACTTGTTCATTGACATTTGCTCCCTCTTGCTGTTTCTGGGAACTTTGCAATAATGAACATGTGGAGAAGCCAGAGCTAGCACTCTGGAGGACAAGAGACCATGGCCTAGTCACTCCTGTCACTTTGGCTGATGGCTTGCTAACAGCCAGACACTCAGTGAGGCCATCCTAGATCCTAAGATCATCCTATGCCTAGCCGACTGCCATCACAGATCCAGGAGAGAGCCCAGCAGAGATCAGGGGATTCAGACTAGGAGAACCACCCAGCCAATTCACAGAAACATGAGCTAAACAAATAACTGTCACTAAGTTCTGGAAGTGCTTCATTACAAAGCAAAAGTTAATGGACATGATGATGTGATGGGCAAACTGATAAGTATTTACCTGCATGAGATTTAAATCCATACATTAAACCAAAGAGGTTGATTCATTTGGCAGATGGAGACAGAAAGCACAGAGAAGTGAAAGAAATATAGTCAACCTTACATAGCTGGCAAGGGTCTGAGGCAGATTGACACCTAGGTTTATCCAACTCTATCCATTGCACAAACAGGGTCACACCCAAAGCCCAAACAGTGGGATTTAAGAAATCATTGTTATTTGGCAAAAGGTTTAAATGATGTTTACATTGCTTTTGTTATTGTTTTTATTCATGATAATTCCTTTCATGGTCACCCTAAATTACTTTTGAAAGATAGTCAAGTTATGATTAATGAATGACCAAGTGTTTCCTTATATGGAGATTTATAGTTTTAAATTACAAGGT